TTAGATACCTTACTTAAACTGATAGAATTATCGAAGTTTTGAATTCGCCACGCCGATTTCGCGATTAATAGGTTGTGTGTAGACCTCCAACGTCAATTTTAACAACTTAACAATAATACACTATAAATATTAAATAAGAGACATTAAAAATCAAACAGACAAAAAGTAGTTTAATAATATATTTATATCAACACAATTAATTAAATGTTAACTAAATTATTTCTTAAACATACAAAAAATTGTAAGTTGTTTCATAGATTTCATTCTATGATTACTTATTTCTTCTTTCACTTTAACATTAACTCATGTTCGTCAACAATGTCTCTTTGCTCCAAACATTTAAGAACATTGTTCATATTTGTTAACATTTCATCCAATGAAACTGATCTTTCTTCATTTGGAGTTGCAGTTTTGGTATCGTTGTCATTATCTTCACGGTCATGACTTAAAACGTAAATTTTTATTTGATTGTCAGTCATGTGGTTGACTATAGGTAAATCGTCGTCACACATCATGATCTCCTCAATGTCATCTTGATCGATTTTGAATACACACTTTTTGGCGTAATCGAGAAGTTCATTAATTTCAAGTTTCAAATCTTGAAACCTTCAAAATCGATTTCACTCTCATTTTAAAAGAAAATGGTAGAAGGCAGCAGATTGTGCCAACCGTGTCTCAAAGTCTCAGACGTAACATCATTCCATGCATTTGCGGCACAGTAAAGGGCATCCTTTATGTCAAATTCCTTTAAAAATTTCGTGATGCTCTTGCTCAATTGATAGAACGTAGCCTTTTCTCCAAAGTCTTTCTAGTATTTACATTTTAAGGATCTTAATTTGCTATTATCCATCAGTTGAATAAGAGAAGTACAATTCGGAGGTTTCGGAGGTAAGTACATTACCTGAACTCCTGATTTAGATAAAATTTAAGCTGGAGCATGCGCTGTACAATTATCTAAGAGGAGAATAATTTTGGCATCGCTCGGAAGCCCAACAGTATTCCAATGAGCTCCAGCTTACAGAACGAAATGATCGTTAAACCACTCTTCCGTCAATTCTTGCGTAATCACGCTCGAGGTCTAGCACTTTTGCCAATTACCATCACCTTGAAGTGATGAAATCCGGAAGCATTAGCACACACCAACACAGTTAGCCTCTCTTTATATTTTTCACACCAGATGAATTGCAGTGGCCAGGGTTTTTCTTGGAACATAGCGCCAAAAGAGAGCAGTTTCATCGACATTACACATTTGATCGAAAGATAAATAATTTTCAGGCACAAATTCGGAAAATTCATTAATAAAATGTTCGGCAGCTTCAACGTCAGCTGATGCCTTTTCTCGCAAATTCTTAATTGCCTTATTCCATGAGGTTTTTTAAATCTATCTAACCATTCTGAAAAATATTCACAAGGCGTTTCTATTTTCAAGTCTTTGTGGTAGAGCCTTGTCTGTGCCATAATAATTGCTCCAGTCAAAGGCACTTTCTCACTTCTTCTTTGTCGTACCCATTCTATCATTATATTATCCAAATCTTCGTTGTTAGCTTTGCGTATCGTTTTTCTTTTATCCATCTCTAAGAGTACATCACTTTTTGCGAAAAACTGCAGTACTTTATCCTCCTGTTTAATTAAATCATAAACAGTGGATTTGCCAAGTTCATATTCTATGCAAAGATTAGCCACTGAAGATCCCGAGTTATATTTCCGAAGTAATTCTACTTTTTTCGAAATTGAAAGAGAATTATGCTTCCTCTTCTTTGAACTTTCGTCATTTTTTCCCATAATTGATCGTATAGATAGCATAAATTATAGCATATAGATAGCAATTAAAACAAAAAATATAGGTTTAAAACATGAGCTGAATTTCAACTTATAACTGAAACAGATGCTTATAGACTAGACTGTACCAGCTGATACTAATCCTTTTTTTGTTGGGGGATGAAAGAACTTGTCCCCGCCTCCTACGCTTCAAGGTTAAGAAAGAACCAGTTTTCTTTTTTCACAAGGGGGAAAAACAAGGGGGTAGAAGAATTACTCCTCCTGCACGCCTAATCTATACAGAGCTGATAAGAATTATTGGAATTTCCTAATCAGCTTTGCACTTTTATTCACTCCCCACCCCTACCTCTTCATTTACTGCTTTGTTGTTGGAGAAGAGTTGCAGTTTTGTGCTCTTACATTTAAATTTTTACTTTAAACAAATTTTTTTCCTTTCTTTTTTGGAAAATTTTTTACGGACAAGTTCGGATTATCGAGGTCGTACTGAACATATATTGAAGCACAATTGGAAAAAATTTCAAGTTCTAAAATAAGAGTGATTAAAATTTTAATACAATTGTTGAAAAATAATATGAATTTTATCATCACAATATTACTGATGTGCATTTAAAATAAATTTGAAATCGTGGAGAAACAGTGATCACATATTACTAATAATTTATTTTATATCATTATTTATTTTTGTAGAAGCTTTCAACTTTTTGTTAGAAGCATTTGTTTCATTTTATTTTTTATTTCTTAAAGTCAAAAATACTAATAAAAATATATTTAATCATATGAAACAATTTTTGCCTAAATAATAAACACTTAAACCTAACAACTCAAAAAATTATGTATCATGTTTCAACTAAAAATTGACATGCAAAAAGGTGTTAATTGAAAATGTAGAGTTTATTATGTCTGTGGATTAACTAATAATGCTTAATATCATTTATTCTTATTTAATGTTTTCACTTTTCTCTTTTTATTCTTCACTTCAGCTAATAAATCTGCATTTCTGTTTTCACCATTAATAAAGCATCATTTCTTGTTTTTGTGCAGTTGTTTAAAAATACATTAGTGGAAGACCAGAACCGTGTCCAAAAATTTTTTAATATAATGTTCAGAGAGACAAAATTCTTCATTTCTAAGCAAATCCTTTTCTTCGAGAAAACTTTTAGTTAAATCTGCAGCATTTCGCTTACCAATTTGTTTGTTAAATTCGGCCTCATATACAAAATATAATTTTTCACAATATAATTTAACAAAACCCAATTTATCACGTGTTGTTGTTTCTACACTCTAAACAGTAGGTTTTTTTTTTAAAGCACTAAAGGCACAATAACCTGCAATATACACAATTACAGGTAATTTAGTTTTTACAGAGGATATATCAGGTGGCATAATTTTTAAGCAGAATACCTTATCATTTTGAAATGCTTCTACAAGACTTTCATTATGTAGCAACTCTGTGACTTGGACAAGGGCAAATGACTTCGTGGGAATATTTGAATACAAAAGGGACTTTAATCTAAGTTTTGCTTTGCATTAACTTAGTTACATTAACATTAATTGCAAATAACTGCCTAGTTGAATTACTATATTGGCATGCAGCGAACTGTTAATAACAACCAAACATACTCTTCAAATCATGGGTTTTAAATTTCCCAGGCATAACATATTTAAAATTCAGTTCATTGACACAATAATCCATAAGTTGTAGAATACCTTCAGTGCTTAATTTTAAAGCTACATGCATATCTCTACTAAACATTTCCGTAGCACATTTCATTGATTCCCAGACATTCAACTAGTCTAAAAATTTGTTTAAAAAGTTTATGCTTGTTTCGTTTTTGTAGGAAAGGGGAAATTGAAATTTATTTTTCAAGTGAAAACCTTTAATTGGAGTTTTTACATTAACTATATTCTATCAACTATTAATAATTTTTATAAAATTGGCAGTATTTTCATAATGAACAATATTAAGATTTTTACACAATTCAAGCAATCCTTGGGGAACAAATTTATTAGAAATCTGTAAAACTAGCTTCACATTTTGTCTTTCAAAATATGAAGGATTAAGAGCTTTTAAACTTAATTTTGCAAGGCTATTGAATTCAATATCATTAAGTATTTTTAATGCTGAAAATGAAGCTGTGTTGAAATTGTGCCCTAGATCATTACCTGGTCTTTCACCAAATATAGGATTAAAAAAAAAAAAAAATTTGCGATTTTTTGTTTCGTTTAGCCAGTTATTGCGTATGCATTTTAACAGATGCACAAAATCAATTAGGAAAAAAGGGGTCTATTATTGTCAATCAGGTGAGGATAAACAAATTGCAGTCTAGGAGGATTAACAAACAGGGGCAAAGCTTCTCTGTCTATATAGTTATCTGTTGCTACAGAAATAACAAAGAATCCTAACTCTTCCAGTTGAAGTATAACTTTGTTTAAAAATCCGTAGAGTATTTCCCCAGTAATTTTTTTACAGGTAAGACGTGTACTGCAGCTTTATAGGAAGAGAGGACACTTTTCGACATAAATACTTGAGCAAATGAAATACTATTACCATCATATGAAGTTCCTACTATGTTTCCACTTTTGTAATGAAAATATCCTTTTATGTTAATTTCATCAAGCATTATAATGACAGTTTTATCTTCATTTAAAAATTTAAACTTCTGTTGGATATATTTTAAAAAGTATTCATCAGATTGTTCTAATTGTGGACTAATATTCACTTTTAAACAGATGTTTCTTATTGTATTTGGATGTTGCAAAATAATATTGCCGTTTTGACGTACAAAATCTATATGCATTAGGGTATATTGTATAAATTAAGGAGGTAAAAATTAAAGCTTCTGCAGAATACCTGTATACATGTTTATCATGGCCTACGTAAGAAAGTTGATCGATTATGAACAGAATTAAATTGTTGCACATATTTGTTACATTTACTGGTAACAAAAATTACAGTATTTACAATTATTTTTACATATTTTTTAGCTGGTGGTGTATACAAACTAATTTTTTAAAATTAATTTAAAATATCAACTATTACATCAATAGTGAGAAGCAAGAATGGAAGTTTTAATAAGAATTTCTGTTTTAAAACTTTCTGACAAAAATTTCTGATTTTTTAGCCTAAGCGTTGACTTCATAATTAGAATTTATATATAAAGAGCTAATTAGTTCTGGTACTGACTGTACATCCAGTAACAAGAAAAGAATGTAGCATTCACTTTTTATAATATTCCAAGAGTTCTTTGAATCTGGGAGCTTAGACTTTAGGTCAGAAAAAGAGGAAAACTTTTGTGTCGCATCATACAATTCTTGACGTTTTTCAGCTGTTGCAGCTTGAATGTTTTGCATTTTCTTTCCTTAATTTTCGATCATCTGAAGATTCTCAACTACTACTAGCTGTTGAAGAGAAGTGCTTAGGTACATTTGGATGAAGAGATGGTACTGCATTAGGTTTTAATCTATAAATAAAAAGAAAATTTGAATATAATATATAATCAGAGACAAACATGCTCGATTTTAAAATAAATTTCACTTCTTACATTTTAGTTCGGCTTCAATAAGTTGACCCGTTTTCTTATCATATGCAGTTATAAGGAGGTGGTCTTCATTAAAAAATTTTTCACACACCTAAAAATAATTAAAAATAGGTTAAATTCTACTTAAATCTTTAAAAAAAAATTCCAAAATTTGCGAACGTCAAAAGAATATGCAAAAAAAAAGAAAAGAAAAAGGAAAAAGAGGGGAAAAAAAAAGAAAAACAGAAAGAAAAGAAAAAAGAAAAATACTAGACATATAGCTTACCTTGCTGTGTTCTATAGGACTGAAATGCTCCCTTTTAATGGTGCGAATCTATTTTTCTCTCAATACATAATTTTTAGGGAAACTAAAAACACTGACTTTAGGGCCATTTTTATAATTTCCTTGGCATGCCAGTACACAACATGGATAAGTCATATCTTTTTTTAAATTTTGTAATAATTAATTACATAATAATTAGTTTTAATCGAAAATATCCAAATCAAAAGACTACTACGACTGACTAAAACAAACGAAACAGAAAGTGTCATATGTCGAGAGGAATGATCGAAGTATGCCAACGTCACAAAAGGTTGATGATGCAGTTGGAAGGTCTTTTTGTATCTCAAAGGCCATACTCTAACACATAAAATATTTGACCCCATTAGTTTTACTAGTCTTGTCAACTTAATTCTGAAATTGATTTTGCAAAAATGTTGGAAAATTAAAGCTTCATGGCACTTGCAACTACCAGAAGAGATAGCTACGGAATTCAAGAAATGGAGGGTCCAAGTTAGGGACTTAGAAAATCTTAACATACCTAGAAAATTTTCAGATTTTTCACCAAGTATAGAAAAATTATCCCTACACACTTTCTGCAATGTGAGTAAAGCTTTTGATGCTACGTGTGTTTCCTTGAGACATGAATTACCTGCCAGCTAATTCAGCAATGTTTTAGAGTTGCATTACTTAAAAATATTTCTATACTGTGCTTTAGTTGTTAACTTGTATTGATGCTAGACTAACAGACAGTCTTAAAGATTTCAAATTAAAAACTGTTGAAACAGTCTATTGATCAGATCCTATAGATACTTCATATTGGATGAAACGAGAAAGTCCCTGGGCAACACTTGTGGAAAATCAGGTTAGGGAAATTGGGAAACTTACACCCAGCACTTTGTGGAATTTTGTACCTGGAAATATGAATCCAGTAGCCTTGCCTTCACCAGGTTGTAGTGGAAAAACTTTGGTTTACTCTCAGTAGTGGTTAGGACCAAAATAGCTTTCAAAATCCGAAGAAAACGGGCCTAAACGTAACATTTTACCAGACAAGAACATAGTAAACACCAAAAAAAAAAACAATGATCACTGCTGCTAATTTGAAGAATAACAACCCCCAATATTATAACCATTATTCCTCTTACACTAAAATTTTACACATCACCAGCTCGATTTTGCGTTTTTGTCAAAATTCGAAAAAAGGAAAATGACGAAAGAATATTCAGTCAATTAACTTGCAATGAACTAAAAAGGGCAGAAACCATAATTTTATAGTCCAGAAAGAATCATTTGAGAATATGAATGATAAGAGATTGAAGTGTTTGAAAACTTTGATGGATTCAGATGGCATCATTAGAATAAAAACTAATTTTGCAACGAAATGATGAATTTAACTTAGAATAATCAATACTTTTGTCTTCAAATCATAATGTTTAAATATATAACATCTGGTCATCGCAATGTCCAATTTCTTATTATTATTTTACAAGAAAATTATTGAAGAGTCATAAGACTATTAAAACCATCATAAGTAATCTGCTCTAGGTGTAAGAAATGTATTTTGAAGCCCTCAGAAGTAGATGAAAGTGTTCAATCTGCAAACAAAGTTAGAAACGCAGCTGTGTTCGAAATAATCGGGGTAGATCTCCCCGATCTGCTTAATTTGAAGGATCAATCCAAAGTTTGGATTTTGGTGATTACTGGTGCAGTCTTCAGACTGGTGCACTTACAACTTTTATCATCTATATCCACTGACTGTTTCATACTTGGTCTCAAAAGATTTATTGCTCGTCGAAGTCGTCCTCTTACAATATATTCTGATAGAGGTACCAATTTTGTTGGCGGGCATCATTTGTTTCTAACAATTGACTTTGAAAAGGTAAAAACTTTTAGTAATTTGTCTAGAATTAAATGGCAATCCATGCCTCCATCTGCACTTTAGTGGGGTGGTTTTTGGGAGAGACTCATTGGCATTATGAAAGGTTTTCTTAGAAGAGAGAGTGTTAAGAAAATCCTCCCTTAACTACAAAGAATTATCAACTGCGCTTTGTGATTGTAAGAGAATCATAAATTCTCGCCCCCTGAGTTATGCTACTGAAAATAGTGAAGATTTTCTATCAATAACACCTGCCATGTTCTTACAGGAAATAAGAGAAGTAGGAATTCTATAATTAGACTTTCTAGATTCGAATGCTATAAGTAAAAGCAAGACTGAGTTAGAATTCAAAAAGGCATGTGTTCTAGATTTAGAACCGATTATCTAGGTTTGCTATGCCATTCAATTATTAATAGTAAAAACAACAAAACACTACAAGTTGGTGAAGTTGTGCCTCAATTTGACCAATAAGTGCAAAAAATTGACCCCACGGGAAAATAATTGAGGTCTATCTAAGTAAAGATGCTGTTGTGCTTTTAGCCAAAATCAAAACTGCTTCAAGAGTATTAGTTCAACCTATCAAAAAACTTTGTACATTGGAACTATGTAAAAGTAAAATGACTTCTGATTCTACAGTCATGCATGAGCGTTTGACTAAAAGGAGAAGTTGTTACTTAAAGTTTAACAGTTTTTATTCTATAGTTAGTTATCAAATGTTATATTTTTTTAATTCATTTTCAATATTCTTAATTTAATATTTGGAACTTTATATTAATAAAATTTCAAACACTAGTTGATGTGAAAAACGATTTTTGATTTTCAATAAAAGCAGATTTTCTTTTTTTATCCTTTTTGTTTTAGTAATTACTACAGCCTATACTAAATCCCCCTTCATTTTTGTGCAAGCTACAAGAGCAAAGCAAAGTTATAGTACAATGGTCATTATGAAATATGAAATAAATCTTCCTAATAAAACAATATGTGTTGATTTAAGAGTGGATAGATTTATTCTTATCTACTTCTTCCTTTTTGGAACTTTTTTATGTGTCTGTTATTCATATTTGGATGAAATGAAATAAAAAATCTCAAATAATCAATCAAGGTCAGTCACATTCTGCAAAAGAAAGAGCAAGAGCTCTACTTCTAGTTGGAGAAATGTGATGGTGTTAAAGAGTATAAATGATATCCGGTTTAAAAAGATGCTACAAAGAATATAATTTCTTTTATATCAAACTCCCATCTTTTCATTTAATTTTTCAAGCCCTTCACAATGGAATTTATTTTTAATTTCCTTATCAACTCTGATATTATCGTTCACTGATAAAAAATTTCATCATTTCAATAAATATTTATAATTTATTAACAATCAACTTTAAAAATGGAAACAAAACAAGACCGACTAGGGGTTGTAACATCATACACGAACCAGGGATGAGAGTAGTCAGAAAGTAAAAAAGAGGAAATCCAAGAAAAAAAAATTTAAAAAATATATATGTATGTATGGAATATGTATGGAAATTGTATAAAATTGTTTAAAGCAGCTCAATGATTTATTAATAAATAACTCATCTATAAATTTATCATACATAGTAAATTGGTTATTAAGAAAAAAATAAATTTGCTAATAAAAACTGTTTTTAATAAATAGTGAAAAAAAACTGTACAGGTTACAATAAAATATGAATAAGAAAACGTAATTTAAGCAAAAAAAACTTCAGATAATTTCAGATGGTTTGATGGGTGCTGATAAAAATCATCGTTGATAGTTTTAGATTTCATCCTAGTTGCGGTCACTTGCTTTCAGTTTCAAAAA